ACCTCCTACAGTAAGAACTATCAACTACCTCCTACAGTAAGAACTGTCTACTACCTCCTACAGTAAAAACTGTCTACTACCTCCTACAGTAAGAACTATCAACTACCTCCTACAGTAAGAACTATCTACTACCTCCTACAGTAAGAGCTACCTACTACCTCCTACAGTAAGAACTGTCTACTACCTCCTACAGTAAGAACTATCAACTACCTCCTACAGTAAGAACTATCTACTACCTCCTACAGTAAGAACAATCTACTACCTCCTACAGTAAGAACTATCAACTACCTCCTACAGTAAGAACTATCAACTACCTCCTACAGTAAGAACTATCTACTACCTCCTACAGTAAGAACAATCTACTACCTCCTACAGTATGAACTATCAACTACCTCCTACAGTAAGAACTATCTACTACCTCCTACAGTAAGAACAATCTACTACCTCCTACAGTAAGAACTAATCAACTACCTCCTACAGTAAGCAACTATCTACTACCTCCTACAGTAAGAACTATCTACTACCTCCTACAGTAAGAACTATCTACTACCTCCTACAGTAAGAACTATCTACTACCTCCTACAGTAAGAACTATCCTGAATTATCCAGGCAGGGTAGTCAACTTAACATTAACTTCACCACATTATATGTAAAGTTAACAAAAAATTGTATCTTACATAAATATATGAGTAGGGAATAACTGTGAGTGGGATAGGCCTACCTAATATGGCCCAGAAGGCCTACCCAAGTACTCTTGTATCGTGTTCCAGACTGTGGTTGCAAGGGTCGACTGGCGTGTGTGTATGTGTGTACTCACCGATTTGTACTCACCGATTTGTGGTTGCAGGGGTCGAGTCCTAGCTCCTGGCCCCGCCTCTTCACCGGTTGCTACTAGGCCCTCTCTCTCCCCGCTCCATGAGCTTTATCAAACCTCGTCTTAAAACTGTGTATGGTTCCTTCCTCCACTACGTCATTTTCTAGGCTATTCCACGGCCTTACAACTCTATGACTGAAGAAATACTTCCTACTATCTCTCTGACTCATTTGTGTCTTCAACTTCCAATTGTGGCCTCTTGTTTCTGTGTCCCCTCCCTGGAACATCCTGTCTTTGTCCACCTTGTCTATTCCACGCAGTATTTTATATGTCGTTATCATGTCTCCCCTGACCCTCCTGTCCTCCAGTGTGGTCAGGCCGATTTCCCTTAAATCTTTCCTCATAGGACATTCCCCTTAGCTCTGGAACTAACCTTGTCGCAAACCTTTGTACTTTCTCTAGTTTCTTGACGTGCTTTATCAAGTGCGGTTCCAAACAGGTGCTGCATACTCCAGTATGGGCCTGACATACACGGTGTACAGTGTCTTTGAATGATTCCTTACTAAGGTATCGGAATGCTGTTCTCAGGTTTGCCAGGCGCCCATATGCTGCAGCAGTTATCTGATTGATGTGTGCTTCCGGAGACATGCTCGGTATTATACTCACCCCAAGATCTTTCTCCTTGAGTGAGGTTTGCAGTCTTTGGCCACCTAGCCTATACTCTGTCTGTGGTCTTCTGTGCCCCTCCCCCATCTTCATGACTTTGCATTTGGCAGGATTAAATTCGAGAAGCCATTTGCTGGACCAGGTGTCCAGTCTGTCCAGGTCTCTTGAAGTCCTGCCTGGTCCTCATCAGATTTAATTCTCCTCATTAACTTCACATCATCTGCAAACAGGGACACTTCTGATCTAACCCTTCCGTCATGTCGTTCACATATACCAAAAATAGCACTGTCCTAGACCGACCCCTGTGGACCCCGCTCGTCACAGGTGCCCACTGTGATACATCATTACGTACCATGACTCGTTGTTGCCTCCCTGTCAGGTATTCTCTGATCCATTGCAGTGCCCTTCCTGTTATATGCGCCTGGTGCTCTAGCTTCTGCACTAATCTCTTGTGAGGAACTGTGTCAAAGGCCTTCTTGCAGTCCAAGAAGATGCAATCAACCCACCCCTCTCTCTCTTGTCTTACTTCTGTTATTTTATCATAAAACTCCAGAAGGTTTGTGACACAGGATTTGCCTTCCGTGAATCCGTGCTGGTTGGCATTTATACTCCTGTTCCGTTCCAGGTGCTCCACCACTCTCCTCCTGATAATCTTCTCCATAATTTTGCATACTATACACGTCAATGACACAGGTCTATAGTTTAGTGCCTCTTTTCTGTCTCCTTTTTTTAAAAATGGGAACTACATTTGCCGTCTTCCATACCTCAGGTAGTTGCCCAGTTTCCAGGGATGTGTTGAAGATTGTGGTAAGTGGCACGCACAATATATCTGCTCCCTCTCTAAGGACCCACGGGGGGATGTTGTCTGTCCCATTGCCTTGAGGTATCGATGTCCCTTAGCAGTTTCTTCACCTCCTCCTCATCTGTATGTATGTCGTCCAACACTTGTTGGTGTATTCCTTGCTGGTGTCCCCGTCTGGTCTGTCCCCCCAGAGTCCTTCCTGTCTCTACTGTAAATACTTCCTTAAATCTCTTGTTTAGCTCCTCACATACCTCTTGATCGTTTCTTGTGAGTTCTCCACCTTCTTTCCTCAGCCTTATCACCTGGTCCTTGACTGTTGTCTTCCTCCTAATGTGGCTATACAGCAGTTTCGGGTCAGATTTGACTTTCGATGCTATGTCGTTTTCATACTGTCGCTGGGCCTCCCTCCTTATCTGTGCATACTCGTTTCTGGCTCTTCTACTAATCTCCTTGTTTTCCTGGGTCCTATGCCTCCTGTACCTTTTCCATTCTCTGTTGCACTTAGTTTTTGCCTCCCTACACCTTCGGGTAAACCAAGGACTCGTTTTGGTCTTCCTATTATTTCCGTTTCCCTTGGGAACAAAACTTTCCTCTGCCTCCTTGCACTTTGTTGCCACATATTCCATCATCTCGTTTACTGATTTTCCTACCATTTCTCTGTCCCACTGAACCTCCTGCAGGAAGTTTCTCATACCTGTGTAGTCCCCCCTTTTATAGTTTGGCCTGTCCCCTTCAGTTCCTGTTACCTTCTCCACTTGTAACTCTACTATATAGTCAAAACTCAGAACCACATGATCGCTAGCTCCAAGGGGCCTCTCATAAGTGATGTCCTCAATGTCTGAACTGCTCAGGGTGAACACAAGATCCAGTCTTGCTGGCTCATCCTCCCCTCTCACTCTGGTTGTGTCCCTGACATGTTGATGCATGAGGTTTTCAAGTACCACATCCATCATCTTGGCTCTCCATGTTTCGGGACCCCCATGTGGCTCCAGTTTTCCCAGTCGATCTCCCTGTGGTTGAAATCGCCCATTACCAGTAACTTTGCTCTGCTCGAGTGAGCTCTTCTTGCCACCTCAGCCAGTGTGTCCACCATCACCCTGTTGTTTTCTTCGTACTCTTCTCTTGGCCTCCTGCAGTTCTGTGGTGGGTTATACATCACTCCAATGACTACTTTATATTCTCCGGACTGAATTGTACCTACAATGTAGTCTCTTTCTCCAATCATGTCCATGCCTTCCATTTCCTCAAATCCCCATCGGTGTTTTATGAGCAGTGCAACCCCTCCTCCCCCTCTACTCCTTCTATCTTTCCTCAGGATCTGATATCCTGTTGGGAAGATTGTGTCTGTTATTGTCTCAGCGAGTTTTGTTTCTGTGACTGCTATGATGTCTGGGGATTTTTCACTGATTCTTTCATTCCACTCCTCATGTTTATTCATTATTCCATCCGCGTTTGTGTACCAAACCTTTAGCTTCTTTTCTATCATTGTGGTCATGCCAGAATATTGGGGTTGGGGGAGCGAGAGCCTTGGTGGGGGCCTATATGGGGCTGTGGTGTAGGTGGGGTTTGTGTTGATGGGGGTGGGGTCAGAATGCCCATAAGGGACAGCTGTTGGGGTGAGGTTTGTGATATGGGGATTGGTGGCAGAGGGAACAGTGAGTGGGTTGTAGTATAGGTTGCTCAGTTGCGTTGGGAATGTCGCGGGTGGAGTCTTTTGGTGGGAGATTCTGTGGGGTGTGTTTGCCCTTCCTCCTGTGTCTGGGTCCTGCTCATTTTCATTGCTTCTCGTTCCTCCTTGCGTCTCTGTACCCTCTCTTTCAGTGTAGTCCTTTCTTCTTGTGTTCTGTCGCGGTCGAGGTATATCCTCTGGTACCCCTCTTTGTCCCTCAGTCTTGCTTTCTCTTGCAGAATCCTGGTTCGAACTGATTCTTCCTTGAAAGTTACTCTGACAGGCCGTATCCTTCCACTCGCAAACCACCCAATTCTCTGAAAATTTGTCACCTGGGTCATATTGCCCTCCCCTATTGTTTTCATGATGCCTTCAATCATTTTTTTCTCCTCCTGTTTTATTTCTTCAAAGTTGGCCCCCTTGGCTTCTTGGAGCCCGTACACAAAAACTGACCTCGCCCTTTCCTCCTCCCACTGAGTCTCCATCTGCGTCCTCTGAGGCATTTTATTTCCTTCCATTGACATGTTCTTGCCTTCAGTCCCTGTCATATCTGAAACTTCTATTCTCAGTGGACTGTCTTTCCTGACCAGCTGTCCCTTGCTACTGCAGTTGGCTGTTAGAATCTCTGCATATAGCATACCTTCATTGTCTTCGGACCTGTCGTTTGATCTTAGTGTGCTCGTCGTCTTTTCCCTGGCCCCACGTGGGTCTGATAGGGCCTTCATGTTCGGCATGTCTCCGTTGTTGCTTACCATCCCCTTGTCTTCGCCTGACTTTGAATTTCCTGATGTCACACCTGAATTGTCATTTGTCTCTCTAATCTGTTTCAGGCTTTGCAGTTTCTCTTCTAAGCACTGTATCCTAGCTTCTGCTGCTAAGACCTGTACTTCCCACTTCCTGCACTCTTCAGCTATCCGCTGTGTGTGTGTGTGTGTGTGTGTGTGTGTGTGTGTGTGTGTGTGTGTGTGTGTGTGTGTGTGTGTGTGTGTGACTGGCTCAGTGTGGGCCCCAGTAGGCTCTACATTAACCCGTGTCGCACCTACCTCAGGTGCGACGGTATGGCGGAGGAGGAAGCTGGGGTCTTCCCATACTACCGCGTTGTATTCAACACATCCGACTACCATGATGCATACGACGAGTTGCAGCGTCTGTCGGACGAGGTGCTCACACGTCTGGCCAGCAGCAGTACGACCACTGACGCAGACGACCCTCTCCTACCCGCACACGACCTCCAACACCCGCCCACAACGTTACAAGAGGTAAGCTATAAGTAGCACATGTGTGCAGTACATGTTTGCAATACATATGTGTAATACATGTGTGCAATACATGTGTACAACATATGTGTGTAGCACACGTGTACAACATATATGTTCCCCTCACTCTCAAGTTCCCCTCACTCTCAAGTTCCCCTCACTCTCAAGTTCCCCTCACTCTCAAGTTCCCCTCACTCTCAAGTTCCTCTCACTCTCAAGTTCCCCTCACTCTCAAGTTCCCCTTACTCTCAAGTTCCCCTCACTCTCAAGTTCCCCTCACTCTCAAGTTCCCCTCACTCTCAAGTTCCCCTCACTCTCAAGTTCCCCTCACTCTCAAGTTCCCCTCACTCTCAAGTTCCCCTCACTCTCAAGTTCCCCTCACTCTCAAGTTCCCCTCACTCTCAAGTTCCCCTTACTCTCAAGTTCCCTCCCTTCTCAAGTTCCCCTCACTCTCAAGTTTCCCCTCACTCTCAAGTTCCCCTCACTCTCAAGTTCCCCTCACTCTCAAGTTCCCCTCACTCTCAAGTTCCCCTCACTCTCAAGTTCCCCTCACTCTCAAGTTCCCCTCACTCTCAAGTTCCCTCACTCTCAAGTTCCCCTCACTCTCAAGTTCCCCTCACTCTCAAGTTCCCCTCACTCTCAAGTTCCCCTCACTCTCAAGTTCCCCTCACTCTCAAGTTCCCCTCACTCTCAAGTTCCCCTTACTCTCAAGTTCCCCTCATTCTCAAGTTCCCCTCACTCTCAAGTTCCCCTCACTCTCAAGTTCCCCTCACTCTCAAGTTCCCCTCACTCTCAAGTTCCCCTCACTCTCAAGTTCCCCTCACTCACAAGTTCCCCTCACTCTCAAGTTCCCCTCACTCTCAAGTTCCCCTCGCTCTCCCCAGGCGTCGACTTCCCCTCTCTCCCTGGTCTACAACCTGACCAGCGGACTCGACCTGGGACTCAACTGGTCGAGTCCGCCCCTTGTGCCTTGTGTCGACATCTCCAGCGCCGCCGCTAACTGCTCCAGCGTCTTCGACCTCGACAGTCTACCGCTCGACCTCCTCAACGGGTCCTCATCCTCAGGACCCACCTTCGGTGTCGACTTCAACGGGTCTTTAGACGCCCTCGGCGATGGGTAAGTAGACGGTCGACACGAATATTCGACCTATTATATGTTTGAATCGACTTGTGCAATGCCGATAGGTGGACATTTTGAGTGCTGGTCGACACTTTGAGTGCTGGTCGACACTTTGAGTGCTTGTCGACACTTTGAGTGCTGGTCGACACTGTGAGTGCTGGTCGACACTTTGAGTGCTGGTCGACACTTTGAGTGCTGGTCGACACTTTGAGTGCTGGTCGACACTTTGAGTGCTGGTAGACACTTTGAGTGCTGGTCGAAAACTGGGGATGCTGGTCGCCCACTTTAAAGTGCTGGTCGAACTTTGAGTGCTGGTCGACTCTTGAGTGCTGGTCGACATTTTGAGTGCTGGCGACACTTTGATGCTGGTAGACACTTTGAGTGCGGGTCGACACTGTGATTGCTGGCGACCCTTTGAGGGGCTGGTCGACATTTTGAGTGCTGGTCGACATTTTGAGTGCGGTCGACACTTTGAGTGTTTGGTCGACATTTTGAGTGTTTGGACGCCACTGAGTGCTGGTCACATTTTAAAGTGCTGGTCGCATTTTGCCGGGGGACACTTTGAGTGCTGGGGGACCTTTGAGGGGCTGGTGGGCACTTTGGGGTGTGGTCGAAAACTTAAAGGCTGGTCGACACGTGATGCTGGCACCTTGGTGCGGTCGACCCTTTGATGGGGTTTCGACACTTAGTGCGGGCGACACGGGGTGCTGGTCACATTTTGGGGTGCTGGCCCACCTTTGAGTGTTTGGTCGACATTTTGAGTGCGGCCCGCCACGTGAGTGCTGGCCCGACACTTTTGGTTTTCGGTCGACACTTTGATTGCTGGCGACACGGGGTTGCTGGTCGCACTTTGAGTGCTGGTCGACACTTTGATGCTGGCCCAAACACTTTGAGTGCGGGCCCACACTGTGAGTGCTGGTCGACACGGTGAGTGCTGGTCGAAAACTTTGAGTGCTGGTCGCCACTTTGAGTGCTGGTCGACACTTTGAGTGCTGGTCGACATTTTTGGGGTGCTGGTCGACCCCTTTGAGTGCGGGCCCCAACTTTGAGTGTTTGGCCCGACACTTTGAGTGCGGTCGACACTTTGAGTCTGGTCGACACTTTGAGGCTGGTCGATTTTTTTTGATGCGGGGCAAACATTTTGAGTGCGGTCGCCCTTTTTTGAGGGGCTGGTCGAAAACTTTTAGTGCTGGCCAACATTTTTGATGCTGGTCGAAAACTTTTGGAGTGCGGGTCGACACTGTGGGGTGGCCCGGACACTTTGGGGTGCTGGTCGAAAACTTTAAGTGCTGGTCGAAAACGTGAGTGCTGGCAAAACCATTTTGAGTGCTGGTCGACACTTTGAGTGCTGGTCGACACTTTGATGCTGGCGACATTTTTGATGCTGGCCCGACACTGTGATTCCCTGGTCGACACTTTGAGTGCGGGTCACACTTTTATGCGGGTCACACTTTGAGTGCTGGTCGAAAATTTTGATTTCTGGTCGACACTGTGAGTTGGTCGAACGTGAGTGCGGGTCGCACGGAGTGCGGGTCGACACTGTGAGTGCGGGTCAACACTTTGAGTGCGGGCAACACTGTGAGTCCCTGGTCAACACTGTGAGTGCTGGTCGACACTTTGAGTGCGGGTGGGACACTTTGAGTGCTGGTCAAAACTGGAGTGCGGGCCCAACACGTGATGCTGGTCAACACTGTGATGCGGGTCAACACTGTGAGGCTGGTCAACACTGGGTGCGGGTAAACACTGTGAGGCGGGAAACACGGTGATGCGGGTAAAACACTGTGATGCTGGTCAACACTGTGAGTGCGGTCAACACGGGAGTGCTGGCAAAACTGTGGGGCCCCTGGTCAACACTGTGATGCGGTCGACACTTTGAGTGCTGGTCGAACACTGTGAGTGCTGGTCAACACTGTGAGTGCTGGTCAACACTGTGAGTGCTGGTCGACACTGTGAGTGCTGGTCGACACTGTGAGTGCTGGTCGACACTGTGAGTGCTGGTCGACACTGTGAGTGCTGGAAAAAACACTGTATGCTGGTAAAACACGGTGGTCGGCCCAACATTTTTGAGTGCGGGTAAACACTGGATGCTGGAAACACTTGAGTGCGGTCAACACGTAGTGCTGGTCAACACTGTGAGTGCGGGCGAAAATGGGGATCTGTCGAAAACTTTTATGCTGGCAACACTGTGATGCGGGTAAACACTTTGAGGGGTTTAAAAACACTTGAGTGGGGTCAACACTGTGAGTGCTGGTAACACTGTGAGTGCTGGTAAACACTGTGAGTGCTGGTGGGACACTGGAGTGCGGGTCGACACTGTGAGTGCTGGTCAACACGGGAAGTGCGGTCAACACTTTAAAGTGCTGGTTTCAACACTGTGATTTGCTGGTCAACACTGGATTCTGGTCAACACTGTAGTGTGGCCCAACCGTGAGTGCTGGTCGACACTGGGGAGTGCTGGTCGACATTTTGAGTGCGGGTCAACACTGGATTTCTGGTCAACACTGTGAGGGGGGGGGGCTGTAAACCCACTGTGAGTGTTTTTGGGTTCAACACTGGAGTGCGGGTAAACCCAACTGGAGTGCTGGTCAACACGTGATGCGGTAAAACATTTTGAGTGCTGGTAAAACACTTTTAGTGCTGGTCGACACTGTGAGTGCGGGTCAACACTGTGATTTCCCGGGGTCGCACTTTTAACTGGTGACACTTTGAGTGCTGGTCAACCCCTGGACTCCCTGGTCAACACGGGTGAGTGCGGGTAAAACCCCCTGTGAGTGCTGGTCAACACTTTTGAGTGCTGGTCAACACTGTGAGGCTGGTCAACACTGTGGGGCCCTGGCCCAACACTGGGGGGCCCTGGCCCAACACTGGGGAGTGCGGGTAAACACTGTGGGGCGGGTAAACCCACTGTGAGTGCTGGCCCGACACTTTTAGTGCGGGGCCAACACGTGAGGGGCTGGAAACCCTGTGAGTGCTGGTAAACACTGTAGTCTGGTCGAAAACAGTGAGTGCGGGTAAAACACTTTTATGCTGGTAAAACACGTGAGTGCGGCCCAACACTGGAGTGCGGGAAAACACTTTTGAGTGCGGGTAAACACTGAGGGGGCGGGCCCAACCACTTTTGGAGTGCGGTCAACACGTGAGGGCGGGTTTAAAACACAGTGATTGTTTGGTAAACCATTTGGAGTGCGGCAACACTTTGGTGCTGGTCAACACTGTGAGTGCTGGTAAACACTGGGGATTTGCTGGTCGACACTGTGATTGCTGGTAAAACCCTGTGAGTGCGGTTTCAAAAACTGTGATGCTGGTCGACACTGTAAAGGCTGGCGACCTGGATTGCTGGTCGACACTGTGAGGGGGGGGTGAACTGTGAGTGCGGGTCGCACTGTGAGGCTGGTCAAACACTGTAAAGTGCTGGCAACACTGTGAGGGGCGGTTTCGAAAACGTGTTCTGGTCGACACTGTGAGTGCGGGGTCGACACTGTGAGTGCTGGTCGACACGGTTAGCGGGTTAAACCTGTGATGCTGGTCGAAAAGTGAGTGCGGTCAACACTGTGAGTGCTGGCCCGAAAACGGGTAGTGCTGGCGACACTGTGATGCGGGAAAACCACTGGAGTCTGGTCGACACTGGAGTGCGGTCAACACGTGAGTGCGGGGTCAACACTTGATGCGGGTCGACACGGTGAGTGCTGGCCCAACACTGTGAGTGCGGGTGACCCCTGGGTGCTGGTCAACACTGTGAGTGCTGGTCGAAAACGTGAGTCGGGTAAAACACTGTGAGTGCTGGTCGAACACTGTGAGTGCTGGGTCGAAAACTGTGAGGGCTGGTCAACACTGTGAGTGCGGTCACACTGTGTGCTGGTAAACCTGTGAGTGCGGCCCGAAAACTGTAAAGTGCTGGTCGACACTGTGAGTGCGGGCCCAACCCACTGTGAGGTTTGGCGACCCCTTTTTGAGTGGGGGTAAACACTGGGATTTGGCTGGTCAACCCCTGTGATGCTGGGGACCCTGTATGCTGGTCAACATTTGTGAGTGCTGGTCGCCCACGGATGCTGGCCCGAAAACTGTGAGGGGCTGGGAAAACTTTTATGCGGGGTTAAACCCCACTGTGGTTGCTGGTCGCCCACGGTGAGTGCTGGCAACACTGTGAGTGCGGTAAACACTGGATGCGGGTCGACACTGTGAGTCCCTGGTAAAACACTTTTGAGGCGGGTCAACACTGTAAAGTGCGGGGCCAACACTGGGATCCCTGGCCAACACTGTGATTTGGGGGGAAACCCACGTGAGTGCGGTAAACCACTGTGAGGCTGGCAACACGTGAGTCCCGGAAACACTGAATTGCTGGTCGACACTGTGAGTCCCTGGTAAACACTGTGAGTGCTTTTCAAAACACTTGTGATGCTGGCAACACTGTGAGTGCGGGTCACACTGTGAGTCCCGGGGTCAACACGGGTGGTGCGGCGACACTTTTAATCCCGGTCGAAAAACGGGAAAATTGCTGGTAAACACGTGAGTGCGGTAAACACTGTGAGTGGGTCAACACTGGAGTGCTGGTAACACTTGATGCTGGTCAACACTGTGATGCGGCCCAACACTGTGAGTGCGGTCGACACTGTAAATTGTTTGGTCGACACGGTGAGTGCTGGTAAAACACTTTTAGTGTTTGGTCAACACTGGAGTGCGGGGTCGACACTGTGAGTCCCGGTCGACATTTGGATGCTGGCAAAAATGTGAGTGCGGGTCGACACTGTAGTCCCTGGTAAAACACTGTAAAGTGTTTGGTAAACACTGGAGTGCTGGTCGACACGGTTAGTCCCTGGTAAACCACTGGAGTGCCTGGGTCGCCCACGTGATTTGCTGGCAAAAACTGTGAGTCGGGTCAACACTTTTGGGGGCTGGCCCGACAACTGTAAATTTCCTCGAAAACGGGGAGTGTTGGTCAAAAACTGTGAGGGGGCTGGTCAACCCTTTTGAGTGCGGTTTCGACATTTGGAGTCTGGGCCGGACACTGTGATGCGGGTCAACACTTTTGAGGGGCTGGTCGACACTGGTGCTGGTCAACACTGTGGGGTGGGTTTCGACACTGGGGAGTGCGGGCCCAAAAACTGTGAGTGCGGTCGACACTGTGAGTTTTGGGTCAAACACTGTGAGTGCTGGTCCCCACGGGTGAGTGCGGGCCCAAAACACGGTGAGGGGCGGGTCGACACTTAATTTTATCTCTAAAAAAAAATAGAAATAAAAACGTGTTTAAAAAAAATTTAAAAAATAGTAAATAAAGTAATTATAAAAAATTAAAAATTTAAATAATACAAATTACTATTTTTTTTAATTATATTATCATTAAAATATTTTTAAATATTATTTTTATTATTTTTAAAATTTATTATTATTATTAATTTTATTTTATTACTATTATTTTTAAATATTATTAAAAATTTTTTATTATTATTATTATTATTATTTATTTTTTTATTAATTTTATTATTATTATTATTATTTTAATTATTATTAAAATTTTTATATTATTATTATTTTTAAAATTTTTTTATTATTATTATTATTATTTTTATTTTTAAATTTTTAAATTATTTTTTAATTTTTATTATTATTTTAAATTAATATTATTATTTCTTTTTCATTAAAAACAATTATTATTACTTTAATCAAAAATCAATACTAAAAATTATTGTTTTATTATTATTTGTTGTTTGAAACCACCATAAATTATTATCATTATTCTCCTGGTATAATGCAGAAACATGTGCTCAAGGGGCCCAAAAAAAACCCCTTTCCCCGGGGTTTTAAAACACAAAACCCTTAAATTTTAAAGTAAACGATAGAAACCCCCAAAAACAGGTAAAATAACGGTTTTTGTTTTTGGGTGGGGGTTTATAATGACTGGGTTTGTGGGGTATTAATGCCCTGGTTTTGTTTTGTGAGGTAAAATTACGGTTTTTTGTGAGGTATAATGACGGGTGTTTGTTTTGGTGAGGTAAATGACTTGTGTTGGGGTTTGTGAGGTAAAATTAAACCGGTTTTTTGGTGTGTGAGGTATAATAAAGGGTTTTGTTTTTGTGAGGAAATAAACGGGTGTTGTGTTTGTGGGTAAAAAATGACTGGGTTGTGTTTTTTTGGGTATAATGCCCGGGTTTTGGTAGTGTGAGTATAATGACGTTTTTGTTTTTTGGGGGGGGGGGGGAGGAAATTTGACTGGGGGTTTGGGAAGGTGGGGTTTAAAAATGACTGGGTTTGTTTGGGGGTAAAAATGACTGGGGTTTGGGGTTTGTGAGGTAAATACGGGTTTGTTTTTTGTGAGGTATAATGACGGTTTTGGGAAAGGGGGGGGGGAAAATAATGATTTGGTTTGTTGTGTTTGGTAGGTAAAAATGACTGGTTTTTGTTTTGTGAGGTAAAATAAAGGGTTTTTGTGTTTGTGGGGGTTAAAATACGGGTGTTGGTAGGTAAAGGTTTATAATGACGGGTGTTGTTTTTGTGGGGTAAATGACTGGTTTTGGTAGTTGAGGTATAATCCCGGGGTTGTTTTTGGGAAAAGGAAAATTGACTGGTGTTGGTTTGTGAGGTATAAGACGGGGGTTGTGTTTTGTGAGGTATAATGACGGTTTTTTGTGTTTGTGGGGTATAATGACGGGTTTTGGTTTTTTGTGAGGTATAATGACGGGTGTTGGTTTTTGTGGGGGTAAAATAACGGGTGTTGTGTTGGGGAGGAAAAAAGGACGGGTGTTTGGTTTGTGATTTAAAATTTACGGGTGTTGGGGTTTGTAAAGGTATAATAAACGGGGGTTGTGTTTGGGGGTATAATACGGGGGTGTTTGTTTGTGAGGTATAATGACTGGTGTTGTTTGTGAGGTATAATGACTGGTGTTGTGTTTGTGAGGTATAATGACTGGTGTTGTGTTTGTGAGGTATAATGACTGGTGTTGGGTTTGTGAGGAAATAATGACGGGGTTTTGTTTTTGTGAGGTATAATAAACTGGTTTGGGTAGGGGGTGAGGTATAATGCGGGGTTTGTTTTTGGAGGTATAATACTGGTTTTGTTTTGGGTGGGGAAAAATGACTTTTGTTGTGTTGTAAAGGGTAAAAAGACTGGTGTTTGTGTTTGTGGGGTTTATAAAGACTGGTGTTTTTTTTTGTAGGAAATAAGATTTGGTGTTGGGGTTTTGTGAGGTATAATGACGGGTTTGGTTTGTTTTTGTGAGGAAAAAAGACTGGTGTTGTGTTTGTGGGGTTTATAATGACTGGGGGTTTTTGTGGGAGGTATAATGATGGTGTTGGTAGGTGAGGTATAATGACTGGTGTTGTGTTTTTTAGTATAATGACTGGTGTTGGTGAGTGAGGGTATAAGGGACTGGTGTTGTTTTTTTGTAAAAGGGTTTTAATTTTGACTGGTTTTTGTGTTTGTGGGGTAAATGCCCGGGTTTTGGGTGTTTTTGAGGTATAAGACTGGTGTTGGGGTTTGTGAGGAATAAGACTGGTTTGTTTTTTGTGAGGTATAATAAACGGTTTTGGGTAGTGTGAGTATAATGACTGGTGTTTTGGGAGGTAAAAAATGACGGGTTTTTGTTTTTGTGAGGATAATGACTGGTGTTTTTTGTTTGTAGGTTAATGACGGGTTTTGGTTTTTTGTGGGTAAAATGGGGGGGTTTTTGTTTTTGGTGGGTATAATAATGGTTTTGGGGTTTGTGAGGTATAATGACTGTGTTGTTTTTGGGTGGGTAAAATGACGGGTGTTTTTTTTTTGTGGGGTAAAAAGCTGGTTTTGGTGGGTGGGGGGTTATAATGACGGTTTTTTGTTTTTTGTGAGGAAATAATGACGGGTTGTTGTGTTTGTGAGGTAAAATTTGACGGGTGTTGTGTTTGTGGGGTAAAATGACTGGGTTTGTGTTTGTGAGGTAAAATTGGGGGGGTGTTGGAGTGTGGGGAAATAATACTGGGTTGTTTTTTGTGGTAAAATGACTGGTTTTGGGTAGTGTGGGGTAAAAAGCCTGGTGTTGTTTTTGTGGGAAAAAGGGCCCGGGTTTTGTTGTTTTTGAAGGTATAAAAACGGGTTTTGGGGTTTTTGTGGGGGAAAATGCCCGGTGTTGTTTTTTTGGGGTATAATGACGGGGTTTTAAATGTTTGTGAGGTATAAGGACGGTTTTTGGTTTGTGGGGTAAAATGACGGGTTTTGGTTTTGTGAGGTAAAAAGACTGGTGTTTGTTTGGAGGTATAATGACTGGTGTTGGGAATTTGTGGGGTAAAATCCTGTGGGGGAATTGGGGGTATAATGCCCTAGGGGTGGAATTGTGGGTAAAAAGGACGGGTGATTTTTTTTTGGGGTTTATAATGACGGGTGGTGGTAATGTAAGGTAAAATGCCCTGGGTTGGTTTTGTGTTGTATAATGACTGGTGTTGTTTTGTGAGGTATATAAACGGGGGGGGAAATTTGAAAGGAATAATGACGGGGTTTTGTGTTTGTGAGGTATAAGACGGGTGTTGGGAATTGTGGGGAATAATAAACGGTGGTGGTATTGTAAGGAAATGGCGGGTGTTTGGAAATTGTTTTTAATAATTCCCTGGTTTGTTTTTGTGAGGAAAAAATGACGGTGTTTGTTTTTTGAGGTATAATGACTGAATTTGGGGTTTTGTGAGGCTAATGACTGGGGGCGGGTTAATGTGTTTTAATAATGACTGGTTTTGGGGATTTTGAGGTAAAATGACTGGTGTTGGTATTGTGAGGTAAAATACTGGTGTTGGTATTGTGATATAAAATGCCTGGGTTTGTGTTTTTGAGGTATAAGACGGGTGTTGGTATTGTTTTTGGGTGAGGAAAATTGTCGGGGTTTTTGGTTTTTTAGGTATAAAAACGGGTTTGTTGGTATTGTGTTTTTTTGGGGTATAATGACTGGTGTTGGTATTGTATTTGTGAAAAATATAATGCCCTTTTTACTGTTTTTGCGAGGTAAAATGACGGGTGTTGGTTTGTGTTTTTGAAATATAATGACGGGTTTGTTGTCCATGGGGTTTAAAATTAAACGGGTAGGTGCCCTGAGAGAGAAAAATGACGCTGTTGGCTTTGTGTTTGGAGTATAAGGGACTGTGTTGGTTTGTAAATTTAAAAGACTGGGGGTTTGTGTCTGTGGGGTATAATGACTGGTTTTTGTGTTTGTGAGGAAATAATGAAGGGTGTTATTTTTGTGAGGTAAATGACGGGGTGTTGTTTTTGTGAGGTATAATGACGGTTTTGATTTTTGTGAGGAAAAATTACGGGTATTGTGTTTTTAGTAAAAAATGACTGGTATTGTGTTTGTGAGGTTAATGACTGTATTTTGTTTTGTAAAGGTTTATAATGATTTGTATTGTGTTTGTTGGGTAAAAATGACGGAAATTGTTTTGTGAGGTATAATGACTGGTTTTGTTTTTGTGAGGTATAATGACGGGGATGTTTTTTGTGAGGAATAATAAACTGGTGTTTTTTTTTTTGTGGGGTTTAATGACGGTGTTGATTTTGGTGAGGTTTTATAAATTGGGTGTTGTTTTTGTGAGGAAATAATTTTTGTTGGGTATTGTGGGTAAAATAACTGGTTTTGTGTCTGTGAGGTTTAATGACTGGTTTTGTTTTTGGTGAGGTATAATAATGGGGGTTGTTTTTTGTGGGGTAAAATGACTGGTGTTGATTTTTGTGGGGTTTAAAAATGACTGGTGGGGGTTTTTGGTGAGGTATAATGACTGGGGTTGTTTTGTGAGGTATAATGACGGTTTTGGGTTTGTGAGGTATAATGACTGGTTTTTGAGTTTTGAGGTAAATGACTGGTGTTGTTTTTTGTGAGTTAAGACTGGTGTTGGAAAGGTGAGGTAAATGACTGGGGGTTGGGGTCGTGGGGGTTTAATGACTGGAAATTGTTTTTTTGTGGGGTAAAAAATACTGGGGGTTTTTTTTTGGGTGGGGTTTTAAATGACGGGGTTTTTTGAGTTTTGAGGTAAAATAATGGTTTTTGTTTTTGGGTTAGGTATAATGACTGGTTTTGGTATGAACTCGACCTAACGAAACCAAAAACCACAAAAAACACGACCTCACAAAAACCCCCGACCTCAAAAAAAATTTCCACAAAAAACGGGACCTCACAAAAACACACCCCACAAAATCTAAAAAACACAAACCTCAAAAAAAACCCTCAGCCCAAAAAAAAACCCACCTCCCCAAAAAAAAAGCCCTAACAAAAACAAAACCTCAAAAACACGACCTCACAAAACACAAGACCTCGTTTTACACTATCCATTTGGAGGGTGTGTGGGGGGGGGTGTAAGGGGAAGTGAGGGAAGCAGAGAGAGGGGGAGAAAGAGGTGGGGGTGTTAGGAGAGACAGACAGATAAATGGAAGGTAATCAAGAGATAAGAGAAGAAATAATGTAAACAGTAGTGATGTATAGCAGCATTCCTCTTCCTCCTCCTCTCATCCAGACTGATGTTTCTGATTACCTAGCCCTGTCACTCAGGTGCTTCTGATTTCCTATCTCCCTTACACTGTCTGTTCTGATCGTCTGTCTGTCTGTCTCTGTCTCTGTCTCTGGCTCTTTCTTTCTCTATCTCTCTATCTCTCTCTCTCGTCTCTCTCTCTCCCTCTCTCTCTCTCTCTCTCTCTCTCTCTCTCTCTCGCCTCTACTTCTCTCTCTCTGTCTTCTCTACTTCTCGCTCTCTCTCTCTTAGTATAATGACATGTGACTGTGGTATATGCTGTTTGTGTTTTGGGTATGCTGTGTTGGTTGTTATATGACTGTCTTGTCGTTTCGTTGGTCATACATGACTGGTTTGATAGGTATAATGACTGTTTGATGTCCTATACGATGTTTGTTGTGTCAAAAGTTTGTTGTTTGAGGTATAATGACTGGTGTTGAGTTTGTGAGTGTATATACTGGTAATTTGTGTTTGTGAGGTATAATGACTGGTGTTGGTTGAACTCGACCTAACGAACCAACTCACGAAAAACACGACCTCACATAAACCGACCTCACAAAAAATCACAAAAAACAGGAACTCACAAAACACGACCTCACAAAAAATCTCAAAAACACGACCTCACAAAAACTCAGCCTCAAAAAAAACACCTCAAAAAAAACGACCTAACATAACAAAACCCAAAACACGACCTCACAAAACACAGAACCTCGTTTTTTACACTACCATTATGGAAGGTGTGGGGGGGGGGTGTAAGGGGACAGTGAGGGAACAGAGAGGGGAAAAGTGGGGGTGTTAAGAGACATGACAGATAATGGAGGTATCAGAATAAGAGAAGAAAATGTATACAGTAGTATGTATAGCAGCATTCCCTTCTCATCCTTCATACCAGATGATGTTTCTGATTACCTAGCCCTGTCACTCAGGTGCTTCTGATTTCCTATCTCCCTTACACTGTCTGTTCTGATCGCCTGTCGTCTGTCTCTGTCTCTCCAGGTGGCCTTTCTTTCTCTATCCTCTTTCTCCTTCTCTCTCCTCATTTTCTCCTGTCTCTCTCTCATCCCTCTCTCTCTCTCTCTTCATCTCTCTCTTCCTCTCTCTCTCTCTCTCTTCTCTCTCTGTCTACACACACACACAGATGTTCTGATTGTTCCCACACAGACTGTTCGTCTCCTCTCACCAGACTGTTCTGATTGTCTCCCACACAGACTTTTCTGATTGTCTCCCACAGACTGTTCAGTATACCTCTTACACAGATGTTCTGATAGTCTCTCTCACAAACTTTTCCGATTGTCTCCCGGAGGTGGTACTGATTCGCCGGGTGGCTGGCTTCCTTCCATCGCCACTTGATGGGCAACCTGATGGTCATGATTCTTCAAAGTTGACAAACAACTGCGACAATTCAGCACTATTTCTTGTTTCCCCTAGCAGTGGTTGACATCACAGATAGGGTGATGGGGATGAGGGGAAATAAGGGGAAGGGAGGAGAGCATGGGAAAGAGAGTAAAAGGGAAGATAGATATAATAGGAAGGGATGATAGCACTAGGAATGGAGGAGAGGAGAGGATAGAAGAAAGGGTTGTAGTGGAAGGCGCGAATAAACAGGAATTATTGTTTTTTCTCTCCTCATAATATTCTTTGATATATTCTGTGTGACAGTTACATTGTGGGAACAGAAGGTAGTTGGTAGTTATGTCTCCTCCCCTGTCATATTCCATCACACAGGATGGGTGCCCCTGTCATATTCCATCACACAGGATGGGTGTCCCTGTCATATTCCATCACACAGGATGGGTGTCCCTGTCATATTCCATCACACAGGATGGGTTCCCCTGTCATATTCCATCACACAGGATGGGTCCCCCTGTCATATTCCATCACACAGGATGGGTTCCCCTGTCATTCCATCACACAGGATGGGTTCCCTGTCATATTCCATCACACAGGATGGGTTCCTCTGTCATATTCCATCACACAGGATGGGTTCCCTGTCATATTCCATCACACAGGATGGGTTCCCCTGTCATATTCCATCACACAGGATGGGTTCCCCTGTCATATTCCATCACACAAGCTGGGTTCCTCTGTCATATTCCATCACACAGGATGGGTTCCAATGTCATATTCCCTCACACAGGATGGGTTCCCTTGTCATATTCCATCACACAGGATGGGTTCCACTGTCATATTCCATCACACAGGATGGGTTCCCTGTCATATTCCATCACACAGGATGGGTTCCCTTGTCATATTCCATCACACAGGATGGGTTCCCCTGTCATATTCCATCACACAGGATGGGTTCCCCTGTCATATTCCATCACACAGGATGGGTTCCCCTGTCATATTCCATCACACAGGATGAGTTCCCCTGTCATATTCCATCACACAGGATGGGTTCCCTGTCATATTCCACCACACAGGATGGGTTCCCCTGTCATATTCCATCACACAGGATGGGTTCCCCTGTCATATTCCATCACACAGGATGGGTTCCCTGTCATATTCCATCACATAGGATGGGTTCCCCTGTCATATTCCATCACACAGGATGGGTTCCCTGTCATATTCCATCACACAGGATGGGTTCCCCTGTCATATTCCATCACACAGGATGGGTTCCCCTGTCATATTCCATCACACAGGATGGGTTCCCCTGTCATATTCCATCACACAGGATGGGTTCCCTGTCATATTCCCTCACACAGGATGGGTTCCCTCTTTCTCCATTTCATATCCATCACACAGGATGGGTTCCCCTGTCATATTCCATCACACAGGATGGGTTCCCTGTCATATTCCATCACACAGGATGGGTTCCCCTGTCATTTCCATCACACAGGATGGGTTCCCCTGTCATATTCCATCACACAGGATGGGTTCCCTGTCATATTCCATCACACAGGATGGGTTCCTCTGTCATATTCCATCACACAGGATGGGTTCCCCTGTCAATTCCATCACACAGGATGGGTTCCCTTGTCATATTCCTCATACATCACAGGATGGGTTCCTCTGTCATATTCCATCACACAGGATGGGTTCCCCTGTCATATTCCCTCACACAGGATGGGTTCCCTTGTCATATTCCATCACACAGGATGGGTTCCCCTGTCATATTCCATCACACAGGATGGGTTCCCCTGTCATATTCCATCACACAGGATGGGTTCCCCTGTCATATTCCATCACACAGGATGGGTTCCCCTGTCATATTCCATCACACAGGATGGGTTCCCTGTCATATTCCATCACACAGGATGGGTTCCTCTGTCATATTCCATCACACAGGATGGGTTCCCCTGTCATATTCCATCACACAGGATGGGTTCCCTTGTCATATTCCATCACACAGGATGGGTTCCCTTGTCATATTCCATCACACAGGATGGGTTCCCCTGTCATATTCCCTCACACAGGATGGGATCCCTTGTCATATTCCATCACACAGGATGGGTTCCCCTGTCATATTCCATCACACAGGATGGGTTCCCTGTCATATTCCATCACACAGGATGGGTTCCCCTTGTTATTCCATCACACAGGATGGGTTCCCTGTCATATTCCATCACACAGGATGGGTTCCCCTGTCATATTCCATCACACAGGATGGGTTCCCCTGTCATATTCCATCACACAGGATGGGTTCCCCTGTCATATTCCATCACACAGGATGGGTTCCCCTGTCATATTCCACCACACAGGATGGGTTCCCTTGTCATATTCCATCACACAGGATGGGTTCCCCTGTCATATTCCATCACACAGGATGGGTTCCCTGTCATATTCCATCACACAGGATGGGTTCCCCTGTCATATTCCATCACACAGGATGGGTTCCCCTGTCATATTCCATCACACAGGATGGGTTCCCCTGTCATATTCCATCACACAGGATGGGTTCCCTGTCATATTCCATAACACAGGATGGGTTCCCCTGTCATATTCCATCACACAGGATGGGTTCCCCTGTCATATTCCATCACACAGGATGGGTTCCCCTGTCATATTCCATAACACAGAATGGGTTCCCCTGTCATATTCCATCACACAGGATGGGTTCCCTGTCATATTCCATCACACAGGATGGGTTCCCCTGTCATATTCCATCACACAGGATGGGTTCCCCTGTCATATTCCACCACACAGGATGGGTTCCCTTGTCATATTCCATCACACAGGATGGGTTCCCCTCTCATATTCCATCACACAGGATGGGTTCCCTTGTCATATTCCATCACACAGGATGGGTTCCCCTGTCATATTCCATCACACAGGATTGGTTCCCCTGTCATATTCCATCACATAGGATGGGTTCCTCTGTAATATTCCATCACACAGGATGGGTTCCCCTGTCATATTCCATCACACAGGATGGGTTCCCCTGTCATATTCCATCACACAGGATGGGTTCCCCTGTCATATTCCATCACACAGGATGGGTTCCCTGTCATATCCATCACACAGGATGGGTTCCCCTGTCATATTCCATCACACAGGATGGGTTCCCCTGTCATATTCCATCACATAGGATGGGCTCCCCTGTCATATTCCATCACACAGGATGGGTTCCCCTGTCATATTCCATCACACAGGATGGGTTCCCCTGTCATATTTCATCACACAGGATGGGTTCCCCTGTCATATTCCACCACACAGGATGGGTTTCCACACACCTGTCATATTCCATCACACAGGATGGGTTCCCCTGTCATATTCCACCACACAGGATGGGTTCCCCTGTCATATTCCATCACACAGGATGGGTTCCCCTGTCATATTCCACCACACAGGATAGGTTCCCCTGTCATATTCCATCACACAGGATGGGTTCCCCTGTCATATTCCATCACACAGGATGGGTTCCCTGTCATATTCCATCACACAGGATGGGTTCCCCTGTCATATTCCATCACACAGGATGGGTTCCCCTGTCATATTCCATCACACAGGATGGGTTCCCTGTCATATTCCATCACACAGGATGGGTTCCCCTGTCATATTCCATCACACAGGATGGGTTCCCCTGTCATATTCCATCACACAGGATGGGTTCCCCTGTCATATTCCATCACACAGGATGGGTCCCCCTGTCATATTCCATCACACAGGATGGGTTCCCCTGTCATATTCCATCACACAGAATGAGTTCCCCTGTCATATTCCATCACACATAATGGATGCAATCCGCCATGTTCCATTCAATTCTTTTCATGTACAGAATTAGCACTCTGGAACACACCTCCAGCTATAGTACTGCAAATGTAAAAACATTACCGATATTCAGGAACAGCTGGAGAAACATTTAGCAGATATAAAATTCCACTAGTTACATGGTGTCCTGGTGGTGGTGTCAGGACCTTCAGAACCTACATGTTTAGTATAAACCACTCAGTCAAGACTCCTTGGTCAGCTCTGATTGTTTCTGATGTCTGGAAAATGGCATAAGTTCCAGTGACTAGGAATGCTCTGGTTTAGGATTCTGAGGGGAGAGAGGAGCGAGATGTTGCCTGGTACACTCGCTTCCTCACTTAAACCATATAAAACCCACATTAAACTCACATTAAACTCACAGAAAACTCATCAGGATTCTTGTGTATATTTATTAGACGGGGAATTCTGAAGTCAAGAGACTGTTGATGGTTGTTCATGAACTGCATCAGGACGATCACTTAGCGACTAGAAAACTTAGTCAATAATAGTAATAGTAGTGGTAGACGTAGATGGTTGTGATAGTCATGGTAGAACTAGTGGTATTAGAAATATAACCAGTAGTACACACAGCTCTGTGAGTGACAGTAGAGTAACACAAGTAGTTAAGATAGTAACAGTAGTTAAGATAGTAACAGTAGTTAAGATAGTAACAGTAGTTAAGATAGTAACAGTAGTTAAGATAGTAACAGTAGTTAAGATAGTAACAGTAGTTAAGATAGTAACAGTAGTTAAGATAGTAACAGTAGTTAAGATAGTAACAGTAGTTAAGATAGTAACAGTAGTTAAGATAGTATCAGTAGTTAAGATGAGTAACAGTAGTTAAGATAGTAACAGTAGTTAAGATAGTAAATAGTTAAGATTATGTAACAGTAGGATTTAGTATATGTAGTTGTAGTTCGGGTCTACCTATCCACTTCCAATCTCTATGTTAATTCCATGAGGTGTTTCCATTATGGTATATTCCACCCCTTCCCCCCTTGTTTTCATGGTGACAGTGAGCGGAGGGAGTGGAGGGTGGGGAGAAGCCTTCTCGCTTACTATCCTTGAACACATTTATCAAAGATAATACCAAGATAGTCCCTAATCTAGATAGAAGTAGACAGTTCATCAGAGTAGATAGTCTCGGTGTGGACTCCCAAGTACTCTGCTATCTGCCGTTCCCTTATGCTCCTAGGTACTACCATGTACTCCCAGGTAGTATCATGTACTCCCAGGTACTCCTACGTACTAGTATTTACTCCCATGTACTCTTAAATATTATAAACAATTTATGTAAACAATAAGTAACTGGAAAGAATTGAAATCCAAGGATTTCCAGTCTAGTCCCTCATCTGATTTAAATGTTGATAATCCCGATTTTCACAATAATAATATTAAAAATAGCAATTTTCACATATAAACAATAATAATTATGATTCAATATAATACTCGTGACGTTCTTCTCCGTGTTATTTATCTCCTGCTGTGATGCTGCTATGATGCTGCTGCTGTGATGATGCTGTGATGATGGTATCAGGCTGGTCTCCATGCCTTTCTTCACCCTCTACACTCTGATGGGTTACTGGCCTCTGGGACCTCTGGTTTGCGACACTTGGCTCGCCCTCGACTACCTGGCCTCCAACGCCTCGGTCCTCAACCTACTCATCATCTCCTTCGATCGGTACTTCAGGTAAGAGGATTGTGAGGGAGGGAGGGAAGGAAGGAAGAAGAGAGGGAAAGAAGGAAGGAAGAAGGGAGGGAAGGAAGGATTAAGAGTGAGTCTGAGTGGGGTGGCAGAATGAGAGAAAATGGTAAAAGGGTGTAAAGAGTGTGTGAAGAGAGGTAGAGATAACTGTTAATGAATAGGGCGAACGAAGGATAACAGGCCAGATTCCTATTAAATGTGAAGAAAGGAATACCTACCCTGAGAGAAACATTGCTATCCCTTGAATGGTGGTGGGCGATGTTTCGACGCCTGGCAAAAGTTGGCTAAGATCCACCTAATGCATTGCAACAACATCAGAGTGGTACGCTTAGTGCTTACTGCTCTGAAAGGGAAGATGTCCCAGTATTGACAATCACGAATACCACCCGTACATAACGTGTAGCAGATAGTTGCAACACCCACAGTGTGCTGCTGTACTATTCTGTGTGATAGTCACATTGTGCAAAGGATATAGCAATATCCCTCTGTCATATTCCATCACACAGGATGGGTTCCCTGTCATATTCATTTATTCCGTCTCACAAATTACATCATACAGGATGGGTTCCCTGTCAATTTCCATCACATAGGATGGATCTTCTATCAAATTCCATCACACAGGATGGATCACCTGTCAATTTCCATCACACAGGATGGATCTTCTGTCAAATTCCATCACACAGAATGGGTTCCCTGTCAAATTCCATCACACAGGATGGGTTGCGTATCAAATTCCATCACACAGAATGGGTTCCCTGTCATATTCCATCACACAGGATGGGTTGCGTATCAAATTCCATCACACAGAATGGGTTCCCTGTCATACTCCATCACACAGGATGGATTCCCTGTCATATTCCATCAAACCATACCTCGGCCGGGATTGAACCCGCGGTCATAGAGTCTCAAAACTCCAGCCCGTCGCGTTAGCCACTAGACCAGCTAGCCACAATAAGATTCATCCAACTAGGTATATTTCTACACCATAGGAAGGTTAGCACAGGCACCACTGTGACGGCAGTGAAGGGACTTGAGCTAGAGTTCGTCACAGCCACGCTAGCTGGAGATTCGTCTGTAAAAACTTGCATTTGTGGTCACAGAGGTGCCTGTGCTAACCTTCCTATGGTGTAGAAATATACCTAGTTGGATGAATCTTATTGTGGCTAGCTGGTCTAGTGGCTAACGCGACGGTCTGGAGTTTTGAGACTCTATGACCGCGGGTTCAATCCCGGCCGGGGGTATGGTTTGTTTGCAATCGTGTCATTACGATTTCTTGAGTCATATTCCATCACACAGGACGGGTTCCATACAAGAAATAACGAAATATTTTAGTCCGTGCTGGTAGACTTCAGTAAGGTGATATTACCGTGCAACAGTTACGGCACCTCCATAACATTCCACGCAGCAGCTCTGGAGAGACTATCACCCGGAACTTACCATCTCTCAGGATGGTGGAGACAGAGAGAACAGGGGAGGAGAGGTGGCAGCTGGCTACTAGCTGGTACTTGATTAGACCCAGCTAGCTGACAGCTGGTACTTGATTAGACCCAGCTAGCTGACAGCTTGGTACTTGATTAGACCCAGCTAGCTGACAGCTGGTTCTTGATTAGACCCACCTAGCTGACAGCTGGTTCTTGATTAGACCCACCTAGCTGACAGCTGGTTCTTAGACCCAGCTAGCTGACAGCTGGTTCTTGACTAGACCCAGCTAGCTGACAGCTGGTTCTAGATTAGACCCAGCTAGCTGACAGCTGGTACTGATTAGACCCAGCTAGCTGACAGCTGGTACTTGATTAGACCCAGCTAGCTGACAGCTGGTACTTGATTAGACCCAGCTAGCTGACAGCTGGTTCTTGATTAGACCCAGCTAGCTGGACAGCTGGTATCTTGATTAGACCCAGCTAGCTGACAGCTGGTACTTGATTAGACCCAGCTAGCTGACAGCTGATACTTGATTAGACCCAGCTAGCTGACAGCTGGTTCTTGATTAGATCCAGCTAGCTGACAGCTAGTACTTGGTTAGACCCAGCTAGCTGACAGCTGGTTCTTGATTAGACCCAGCTAACTGACAGATGGTTCTTGATTAGACCCAGCTAGCTGACAGCTGGTTCTTGATTAGGCCCAGCTAGCTGACAGCTGGTTCTTGATTAGACCCAGCTAGCTGACAGCTGGTATCTTGATTAGACCCAGCTAGCTGACAGCTGGTACTTGATTAGACCCAGCTAGCTGACAGCTGGTACTTGATTAGACCCAGCTAGCTGACAGCTGGTACTTGATTAGACCCAGCTAGCTGACAGCTGGTTCTTGATTAGATCCAGCTAGCTGACAGCTGGTTCTTGATTAGACCCAGCTAGCTGACAGCTGGTACTTGATTAGACCCAGCTAGCTGACAGCTGGTACTTGATTAGACCCAGCTAGCTGACAGCTGTACTTGATTAGACCCAGCTAGCTGACAGCTGGTTCTTGATTAGACCCAGCTAGCTGACAGCTGGTACTTCATTAGACCCAGCTAGCTGACAGCTGTACTTGATTAGACCCAGCTAGCTGACAGCTGGTCATTGATTATACCCAGCTAGCTGACAGCTGGTTCTTGATTAGACCCAGCTAGCTGACAGCTGATTCTGATTAGACCCAGCTAGCTGACAGCTGGTTCTTGATTACACCCAGCTAGCTGACAGCTGGTTCTTGATTAGACCCAGCTAGCTGACAGCTGGTTCTTAATTAGACACAGCTAGCTGACAGCTGGTTCTTGATTAGACCCAGCTAGCTGACAGCTGGTACTTGATTAGACCCAGCTATCTGACAGCTGGTTCTTGATTAGACCCAGCTAGCTGACAGCTGGTTCTTGATTAGACCCAGCTAGCTGACAGCTGGTTCTTGATTAGACCCAGCTAGCTGACAGGTGCTACTTGATTACTCAGGTAGCTGACAACTGGTAACTGACAGACCCAATAGGAGACAATAGATACCTGTCAATCCTCACGAGTCACTTACTCTCCCACAACACAGAACTTTCTCTCCCACACCACAGAACTTTCTCTCCCACAGCCTACAGTAAAGAACTTTCTCTCCCACAGTACAGAACTTTCTCTCCCACACTACAGAACTTTCTCTCCCACAGTACAGAACTTTCTCTCCCACACTACAGAACTTTCTCTCCCACAGTACAGAACTTTCTCTCCCACACTACAGAACTTTCTCTCCCACAGTGTGACGCGACCACTGACCTACAGGGCCAAAAGAACAACGAGAAGAGCAGCTGTGATGATTGGGTCAGCCTGGATCATCTCGCTCATACTGTGGCCACCTTGGATATACTCATGGCCGTATATAGAGGGCCACAGGTATGTCATCAGGCTTGTAATGTCCTCAGGTGGTATACAGGCTTGTAGTATCCTCAGTGTGTAATATGTGAGACACAGGTGTTTTTATCTGTGAGACACAGGTGTTTTTATCAAATATGTTAGACACAGGTGTTTTAATCTAGTATGTGAGACACGTGTTTTTATCTAATATGTGATACACAGGTGTTTTCTAATACGTGAGACACAGGTGCTTTTTTAATACGTGAGACACAGGTGTTTTTTTAACACGTGAGACACAGGTGTTTTTATCTATTATGTGAGACACGGTTTTTTTTTTAATATGTGAAACACATTTATTTTTTCTAATACGTGAGACACAGGTGTTTTTATTTAATATGATACACAGGTGTTTTTATCTATTATGTGAGACAGGTGTTTTTATCTATTATGTGAGACAGGTGTTTTTATCTATTATGTGAGACAGGTCTTTTTATCTAATGTGAGACGCAGGTGTTTTTTATCAAATGTGTGAGACATGGGTGTTTTTATCTA